TTGCAAAAACATTAGCATTTATCTTTCAACAAGATAATAGCCCGGAGCACAGCGCTAAGCATGTAAGGATAGGTTAACAATTTAGAGCTAAAGAACAGCTTACGATAACTCATGAATTTTACAAGAATGGAATGCAATAGAAGAAGTGACAAAAGAAAGTTGAAAGTTTTACATGCCAAATGTGTTAGTACAAATTATATTATTAAAGAAAAGAAAAGTAGCTGAGTATTTATAATGTAAGCATTAGATACCTGTTTACATTATCCTGTATATCTATTATTATAAATCTGTCGTTTTCAAAACCTTTGACTACATTGTTGTGCCTGTATAACAAATTACTTTTATTTGTGAAATAGTGTTTCATTTTCATGAAACATCTAAAAAAATAAACTTGTAAATTAAATGTAAATAAATATAATAAATTAATATAATAACTAAATTACTTCTTTTCCTGCGCTTATGTAGGTAGATTTTTATGAAACACAGATTGGTGTAGAAAAAGATCCCCACCATACTTTCAACTTGGGATGGCCGTTTATTGTGCCTGTCTGAAAAAACCTACTCCTATTGGTTCTCGGTTAACTTTGACTGATAGTGACTAACAAGGAAGGTTTTCAGGTGTGAAATTCTAAATAAATATTTAATTTTATATAAACATAAAGGGCATTGAGGATACATAACAATTTTTGTTACCTGCGGAAATTGGTTTTAGGAATTAAACGTTTTCGGAATGTTTAGGGTATACGAAGACGTTAAGAGATATAAAAAATTTTCTTTTCCAATTACATTTCGTAACAAGAATTCTTCTTAGATTTTCTGTCGATTTTGTATCATTGATATTCTATTTATGCATTATAAAAAACTCGATATAACTGTAACACATTCCGAGAAATAATGTTTTTTTGATGCCTACTCTTTGCACAACCATTTATTTGTATGTTTTGTTAATTTAATAATTACCTACTCCAGATAAAGTTTAATTACAGAATAGTTTTTCTTTTTAATTATTTATTTCTCTTCGTGTTCGACATATTATGCATACTGTATACTTTTGAATACTCTATCGGGTGATTCGCCTCTTTCTAGTAAATATCCGCAAAAAATCAAAATTTTGTGATTTTCACGTCATGAAAGAGATGGTGATCATGACTCATTTCTAGTAATTGTTGAACCAAATTCTGGAATTACTTTTGAAGAAGCTAAAGTATGCACTAAAAGTGAACGATGAATCTATAGAGAAATCAAAGTCAATGGCTCTGCGTATTATTCTTTCATTTTATCTTCAACAAGACATTCTGACAGCACAAGTTTTCAGTGGCACCTCTCATATAGAATAATAAAATGAAATTAGAAAATTTTATGAAAATGTGTAAACAAGGATGAACACCCTAATCTGACTGATTCAGTTTCGATGTTTTACAAAACTGGGACAATGTAAATCGTGACTTTTTCATTTCAGTTTCATAATAAACTTGAAAAAAAAATAGATGAATACAATTGGATCATTGTCCAATAATAAATATTTAATCTGATATAATTGTTTGAAAATGATTTCAACAAATTCTTGGGTTGATTATGCTGAACTGACAAACATAGTTAGGAAATTATGAAACACCTACGTATATCATAGAAAGGTAAATTGCGTCGAATCATATAAAGCTACAAATAGTTTGATATTTACACTAGCAGCAGCAGTCAAAATATGGGTACAAGTGAATCCGATTTAGGAGAAGTTAGTAGTGCTTTGCTGGATGTGCAAACAAGGTGTTCGAGATGTACACTAGGCTTGGCAAAGGAGACTCCAAGGTATGTAGTGAGAGAGGAGATTAAGGTGGACGCAATAAGGGTGGAGGCTGGGAGAAAAGCTGAGAAGTACGAGGAAATGATAGAAGGAAGACCACATTGCAGGATCTTGGGAGAGCTGAAGGGAAATTAAGGAGAGGAAGCTGATATATGGGCAGAGAGATTGGGAAAGATATTATAGGAGAGTGGGATATTCACTAACTGGGATTGAAAACAGAAGAGTGGATAGAGGCGAAATGTGTAGAGATGGGGATAGGGACATACAGAGGCAGGAAAGAAGGTCACAGATACGGGAAGGGAGATATAATAAAAGGTATGATGAGATAGTGACAGAGGAACTGCCAAAGTATCTGTTGATGGAGGGGGATGATGAAGGGAAGAGGTTGGTGGCCAGATTCTGCTGTGGCACTGAGGAGAGAGGGAACAAGTACTGTATGGACGATATGGAGAGGTGGTGTGGGCTGTGTGGAGAGCATTGGAAGACGCTGGAACCTGGAACACATGGTGAGAGAGTGTAGTGAGCTAAGGGAGGAGGCTATGGACAGGAAGCAGGTTTTGGGAGAGGGGGTGAGGGCAAAACATGGATGAGGGAGGTGATTGGGGCGAGGAGCCGAAGGTGTGGAGATGGGGGTGGTGGGTAATGGGTTTGGGTATATATATATATTCTACTGTATAGTGTAAATGGTAAACTAATAAAACAATAAAACGCTTACTAGTAACGCTTTACTAAAATTCGCACTTTGACCAATTTTACATCTTATTTCCTCACGCAGTACTCTGACATAAACCGATTACGAAACTGCAAGCTTCCAGAAAAAGGGTAATAATGAATAAGAATAAATAACATCTTACATAAAATATGTTGCTAACGTGAATGTTGTGGATGTTAGTGCAGTTATTTGGAAAGGTTGGCTGCTATTATTTGCCTATAGATGCTGAACCAGCCATTACAGTACGGCAGTTTGACAAGCTAAAAAGGAACGAGTTTCCATCCCATCCATATGTGTGCATGGGTGGCGACAAGCTTCTAGAGTCATATATAGAACGTTATCATATTAATATGAAGATGATATTTTATCATTCAGTCGACCTCACTATAATTATACACATCTGGATAATGAAAAACAACACATAAACAGCACGGATGATTGTATAGGGTTGGTGAATAACACATGAGAAATGTGATTAGTGATTGAACTAAATTAAATGATGAAGAGGAAGCAGTATAAAGGTGTGTCCAAACATTGCGCGACAAGTTCGCGGCGTTCGCAGAATACAATTCTGCCGCACAATGTTTGGACACACTCTTAGAGTAAATTTGAATAACTTTTATGATATAACAAAGGTTGTAAATTTATTCGTGAAACCATATAGATTTAATACTATTTCTTGCTTTTTGTTTGGTAGAAAGATTGGCGATATTTTTTTCTTATTATCCTTACAAATATCAGCTGTCTTCGATAGCCGATTCATGTAGCAAATAGAGGCAAACCATTTATTGGCTACGATGTTCCTGTAGAGAGTATCAGCTATTTCCTTCACTAATTTAATTACATAATAATTGGCAAACTATTTTAATATAATATTTTACAATTACATACAAAATTATTAAATATTTTTAGCAATGCAATTCTTGGATTAGTTTTTCTTCATGCTCCTCGAGTCGTAGAATCGTCGAAACGTATTCACTTGTTACAGTTTTACATTTATACACGTGATAAATTATGAAACAGTGTTTTATACGGCCAAATTTGTTCGAGTAGTGATATAGAGTCTTTGGCAATATAATAACTTCTATTATATTTAAATTTTAAACTTATTTGCACCAAAAATATTTTCTGATTATGAATTCGGTAGAATTCTGATCTGCTTAGGAAGTTGGAAGGCAGCGTTAGAATTACAACAAAGCTGACATTCGCTTCTATACTTAACTGCAACTTAAATATAAAAGCTTTTACTACCATCGTCAAAAATGACAATAGAGGTGTCTTAATGAAAAGAAACGACGCGAAATTCATGGTGAATTAAAAACACTAGGAGGCCGGTGTATTGTTGGACGCCTCATAGTTCAAGCGACGCAACTTTGAAAATATCCAAAATCAAAACTACGAAGTAAAAATCGTAAAAAAGGATGAAAGCGACTAATAGAAAAAATAAACAGCTGAAGTTGCAAAACATATATTGACTTTCCCTTTCCATATTTACAGAAGCAAATTATCGTCGTTGCAAATTTAACAAAATGTCAAAAAGCTCATGATCCCGAAAGGAACCATTTTGAGCTCTTAAACTTTTATCTAAAGTGGCTTAAAAAATGGAAACAACAAAAGCTAGTGGTTATAAGTGAGAAGACAGGTAGCAATCAGCTCACCACCTTGATAAAATGTATATATTTGTAATTTTAATTTCTTCTTATTTCATATACATGAATATTTTAATTTCAAACAAATATATTTTTTTCAAATATAATACAAATTCGTTTATTCAGATTCTAATTCAATCATTATAGTTTATACGATTTTGATTAATTATAACCAGGACAAAATGAAATATTTTTACCTGAAAAAATAAAATTTCTTAAAAATAAAATCTCTTATCACAAAATAGCCCTTAAATTAAAATATGTAGTATCGACAACTTTTATTTCTAAGAATTTATAAAGAGCTAAATCATTGAAATTTGATAGTTCAATCGTTCGCTCTTCATTGATTTTATTGTTGTTTATTTATATAGTTGGGAGTCAACTGCGTAGATTTCGACGAACTTATACCAGATTTATAAATTATAAATGTTGTAGATATAGAACGATAGAAATCTTTATTAATTAGTAAACAATTATATTAAGTCTCTGTATATTTTTAAAGTCTGGTGTTCTCAATATATTAATAGAATTACACAATATCCTAAATTAAAAATTGATTGTAAAAATTTTAAGTCGATTTTTATAATTCGTTTCGAATAAAGCTTTTTTCCGTACAAAATAATTCTGGATCCGATGATGTCATGCTAAAGCAAATGTTTTCTCCGAAACCCTTTGAAGAACCTTATCTGCAACATCATCTGACGGGACCGTCTCCAGACATACCCAACACGTGCTGACTGGAGGTGGTGGTTATAAAAGAACAGGTCGGTGAAAAAAGAATTAGTCGCTCCTGGTTCATCTTCTTGTGCTGATCGAATATTTTTTTATACAACTCGAAATGGCTTTAACGTACAGCAATTTTTTGGAAGACTATCCCATAAGTCATGTCCTTAATCAGCGTATAATCGGCCCTATTGGAAATTGCCAAATTAATCCGCCCTCAGGATCTGAAATTTTCGTCAGTCGTATTCCGCTCCATTATACGGAAGTAGAATTATTTTCAATTTTTTCAACCGTCGGAAATATTTTTAAACTCAGAATAATGCTTCGTGAATGTACATCGGCGTATATGTTTAACCGAGGGTTCGCATATATCACTTATACAACCCCAGAAGAAGCGGAAAGAGCAGTTAATGAAATCACCGCACAAAATAATAAATATACTGGTAAATATTTAACTGTTGAATTATCGCATGATAATTGTCGATTATTCGTCGGGGGTATACCGGAACATAAGACCAAAGATGAAGTTTGGAAACAACTTTTAATATCGGGATTTGAAGGTATCGTTGAGATTATCATGTATAGAGCGTACACCAATCGCGCTGTAAACCGGGGCTACGTTTTTGTTGAATTCGAAACACACCAGAAAGCTGCCCAAGCTAGGTACTTGTTTCAAAACTTCAAATTGTGGGATTCCAAATTAACCGTGGATTGGTCGACGCCTTTACCAAGAATTGATGAAGTCACATTAGCTAATGTAAGTACTTAAAAATTTTTTTATACAAAACAATTATCAATTTGTACAATTTGTGTCTCTTACACTTTATTGTTTTTTTATTTGTTTTGAAGTAAAACTTGTATGCAATAAAAATTTACAATAATTATTTTTTTTACTAGATAACGAAATTGTTCTTCAGAAACATGAGTGTAACTGAATTACCAGAACAATTTAACGCTACCTTAACCCGTGTTTTAGATGGAATGCCTTTGAGGAAGGTGTACAAATTTAAAGATTACGCTTTTGTACATTTTTATAATCGCAATGAAGCAGAAAAAGCAAAGAAGAAATTAACAGGTAAAGTTAGATGATTTTCTGATAACTACCTAATAAAATAACAATTTTATTAAATGAACATACCAAATAATTAAATCTTTCATTTTATAAATAGTTTTAACATAAAGGATCAGTAAGTTGTTTTGCTAACACATTGAATTATCTACAAAAATTAATAAAATATTTATCAATTTGTTTTTTTTTTAGCATATTATGCAAATAGTGTCGTTGAAATTTCATGGGCTACACCACAAAACATGGCCCCTAAAAAACATTATTGGTAAGTAAAGCAGAATTATGTATAAATAGTATAATTCAGACCAAATTTTTGAGTAATATTTTCCATGAAAAATTTGTAATTCTGCACATTTTGGTCTAGAAAAAATATCAAATAGTAAATCACTTTAGTACAACGATTTAATAAAAAATATTGTTTTGAGAAAATAAAATTAATAAAATAAATAAATAACAAACTTTGCTTTTTTGGAAAAAAATAGATGAAAAATATTGCAATGTGTGTGTGTGGGCGTGTGGGCTTAAATTGTTTTCCATCAACTATTGACCAAGTCCATGAATTAGTAAATTTTATAATTTTTATTGCAGCACTTTACCAACTCCAATCAAAAACTCAAATATTATGTCTAATAAGAAATCCCCTCAATCTGGGCAGTCCAGTTCCATATGTGAATCATCATCATCATCAGATCACTTTCAATTATTACCTCGTCAACTGTAAGTGTTAAAATCTTTAATTCATATTTAATTAGTTAATCAAATTCTTTACTTTTGATTAAGGATCATTATAATTTTCTCATAGTAATCTGAATAATTTTGCTCAGAACAACTTTTTTTTAATTTAATAGCCAACAACAGACTATTAACAATGTAGTTTAAAGAGTTGACTCCTCAGGCTTCTGCATCAATATTTTAGCTTTTTACTATCCGTGCCAACAGTCAAGGCCCCTCACTTTAGAGATCAATATCTTAACAACCGCTCCATAAAAAAATTGCGGCAAAGTTTGTTGTAATCACTGAACATTTCTACATAACATATCTTAATTTGAAAATTTTCGGATACGCGGTTTTCTTTTTTAAGCTATTTTTTACGGTGCCGGCAACTTTGTCCAATTTGCCATTTTTTTCTCAAAAACTATCGAACGATTATTTTCAACTTTGAACAGGTAGTTGGATTCATTTAGTTGGACGCTGTTATATCGAAAACGGCTGGGTGGATTTCAACGCGGATTTGACCAAAATATGACAAATAATTGCGTTTGTCAGATACCGTTATCCGTTTTTCAAAGTTATGTCTCTCTAATTTTTTTAGAGCGATTTAAGCGAATTATAAATTAAAACAGAAATAAGCTCTGTGGGGAGAGGAGGGTTCCATCCAATCGTAACAGAGAGTACGTCGCACCTATATCTTACCTAGAGAAGAAGTCAAGGCGCGACGTTCTATCTTTAGAACACACACCAGGACCATCTTTTCCGATTGGACGGAACCCTACTCTCCTCGCATGGCTTATTTTTGTTCATTTTTAATTTATAATTCGCTTAAATCGCTCTAAAAAAATTAGAAAGACAACTTTGAAAAACTGATAAGTCTGATAACGGTATCTGACAAACGCAATTATTTATCATATTTTGGATAAAACCGCGCTGAAATCAACCCAGCCGTTTTCGACTTAACGGCGTCCAACTATATGAATCCAACTATTATAAATCCAACTAAACATCATATGCAAGCCTTTAAACATTGCTTCCCTTACATGGTTGGTTCCGTTCTGAATAACCATCTTATTTGTTATACTGACTGCAGCTTACAAACTTTTAAAAACAAATATAAAAAGTATCTTGCATCGGTGAGTGTGGTGTCTAGTGGCGGCACTAACGTAAACATATAGAAAGTATACCTTTGCTTTTGTTTTTTTTATTTTTCTTTTTATGATTTTCATATTTTATTATTTGGATTTTTTATATATGGCATATTTAGTAGAGTGGTAAATAAGCAGGATTGAATTGTGTTAAGTTGAAATTTTTGAAATTTTGTTTTTGGGAATTCTGTTCTTATTTCTTGAATTATTATTGGAATGCATTTCCCTTTCAGTATAAGTTTTTATTGGAACACCTATGTATAAAATCAGCTTGCTGTGGTGCTCCTTTTGATATTCTTATTATTTTTATTTTGCTTTAATATACAATATTTTTATACAGATGAGTCAAAGATTGTTTGACTCATCACTTTCTATTAAGGATAATAATTATACAGGATGTTCCATTTAAGCGTAACGGAAAGTACGTAAATTTATTTAAATGGAAGACCCTGTATATTTTATCATTTTATGAATACACAACTAAATTTGTTTACACAACCGTATATGTTACTATTTCACAGCGTTCATAGTTCCTGAGATATTCAATTGTTTTTCCAAAATGTGCCTATTACAGGATCTTTTTAAAAACTATGTAAAAACGACATTTCTTCCGATTTTGCCTTGAAACTACGTCACACAATAGTCAAAGCGAGTAGGTAGATGATAGTATTCAAAGATATTAGATACACTATACAGGTTGTTTTAAAAAGCTCAGTTACTTTAGATGTTTTTCAAATGGCTTTTTCTTAAGATTTTTAAATAGAATACCTCTATATTGCGTGTTGGTTGAATTGCCCATCAAGATCCCTTTAATTAATGATAAGTATGTCATATGACTAAGTATAAGGGAATTTAAAGAAAAATGTGTAATAAAATGTCATAATTGTACTTAAAAAAATGACAGAATGTAATATATTCTGTACTTTTTTGTCATTTTTTTTTTGTTTTTTCTTTTTTGTTTGTCTGTCATTTGTAAATCAGTAATATTATATTAAAATGCAATTTAAAAAAAAAACTTTAAATAAATAATCAAAACGTGTTAAAAATACAAAGAATAGGTGCAATTAAATGGCAGAACAATGAATCCCGTTTTTAATTATTAAATTATTTGAAGGAAATGCAGCAACAAACTATAAACAATTACTAAACGTTGCTCAACAAGTAGGTGTTAATTTAATTAATATTTAGAAGTTGTTCAAAATGCCGCCCATTTTCTCTTCTACAAGCATTAATGCGCTATATGAAAGATCTTGAGGTATCTCTTAACATGTACATCTTATTTACATTATAAAATATTAGTCAAATAATAAAATTAAGAACAAAAAACTGATAAAAATAGACAGAATATAATATTAAGTACAATAACGCATATTTTATTACACATTATTCTTTAAATTCTAAATATCAGGAAAACTACTAAAGTTAGATATATGACNACTATTAAGAATGTTGTTTAAAGAGTTGACTCTTCAGGCTTCTGCATCAATATTTTAGCTTTTTACTATCCGTGCTAACAGTCAAGGCCCCTCACTTTAGAGATCAATATCTTAACAACCGCTCCATAAAAAAATTGCGGCAAAGTTTGTTGTAATCACTGAACATTTCTACATAACATATCTTAATTTGAAAATTTTCGGATACGCGGTTTTCTTTTTTAAGCTATTTTTTACGGTGCCGGCAACTTTGTCCAATTTGCCATTTTTTTCTCAAAAACTATCGAACGATTATTTTCAACTTTGAACAGGTAGTTGGATTCATTTAGTTGGACGCTGTTATATCGAAAACGGCTGGGTGGATTTCAACGCGGATTTGACCAAAATATGACAAATAATTGCGTTTGTCAGATACTTAATTTTTTTTCTTTCGTTTTTGTAACTTAAGTATTATCTTATATTAAAAATATTTCCTTTTTTTTTCTTTTTTAGTTAAGCTTTTTAAGTTTTTATTGGAGCACCTATAAAATCAGCTTGCTGTGGTGCTCCTTTTGATATTCATTATTATTTTTATTTTGCTTTTATATACAATACTTTTATTTTTATACAGGGTGAGTTATTAGTATGCCGGCGAGTGATAGTTATTTAACCGTTTGAAAAACAAAAAAATATTTTATCCAAAAATTGTTTGACTCATCACGTTGGAACATCCTGTATATTTTATCATATTATGAATACAACTAAATTTGTTTATACAACCGTATATGTTACTATTTCACAGCGTTCATAGTTCCTGAGATATTTAATTGTTTTTCCGCAATGTGCCCATTACAGGATTTTTTAAAAACATTTTTTCCGATTTTGCCTTGAAACTACATGAGCCAATAGTCAAAGCCAGTAGGTAGATGATAGTATTCAAAGATATTAGATACACTATACAGGTGTTTAAATAGCTCAGTTACTTTTGATGTTTTTCAAATGGCTTTTTCCTAAGTTTTTTAAATGGAACACTCTCTATATTGAGTGTTGATTGAATTGCCCATCAAGTTCCCTTTAATTAATGATAAATCGTCTAACTTTAGTAGTTTTCCTGATATTGAGAATTTAAAGAAAAATGTGTAATAAAATGTCATTATTATTATACTTAAAAAAGTGACAGAATGTATTATAATATATTCTGTTCTTTTTTTGTCACTTTTTTTTCTCTTTTTGTTGGTCTGTCATTTGTAAATCAGTAATATTATATTAAAATGCAGTTTAAAAAAAAAACGTTATTAAATAAATAATCAAAACGTGATAAAAATACAAAGAATAGGTACAATTAAATGGCAGAACAATAAATCCCTTTATAATTACTAAATTATTTGAAGGAAATGCAGCAACAAACTATAAACAATTACTAAACGTTGCTCAACAAGCAGACATTAATTTAATTAATATTTAGAAGTTGTTCAAAATGTCGGCCATTTTCTCTTCTACAAGCATTAATGCTCTGTATAAAAGAACTTGAGGTATCTCTTAACCTTTAGAGAACCGGGACCACTAGTTAAGTGGTGTTCTATGTTATCAGTACTTTCGATGTGATAAATATATCATATGAAGTACATTTTGTATCGTTTTTCTTCAGGCAATATGTTACCTAAAATGCCGGCCCGCTAAAGGTTCACACATACATCTTATTTTCTCTAAAGTCGTAAATTATATGGCAGAACAATTGCATATTTTATTACATCTTTTAAAATCGCATAAAGTACCAAGTCGCATTAAAATCTGGTATATGGCAGCAAAATTATTTTACATTATAAAACATTAATGAAGTAATTAAAGGAAGAACAAAAACTGATAAAAATAGACAGAATATGTATAATATTAAGTACAATAATGCATATTTTATTACTCATTATTCTTTAAAGTCTAAATATCAGGAAAACTACTAAAGTTAGATATATGACATACTTATCATTAATTAAAGGTAACTTGATGGACAATTCAATCAGCACACAATATACAGGCTGTTCCATTTAAAAAAGTTATGAAAAAGCCATTTGAGTAACATCAAAAGTAACTAAGCTTTATGAATACGCTGTATAGCGTATCTAATATCTTTGGATACCATCATTTATCTACTGGCTTTGACTATATATATATATATATATATATTGAATAAAAATGTATAATATGGACATACTAAGATTAACTTCTATTTCATTTCTATTTTAGTTCTCCAACACCTATGAAAGTTTGTAATCCGTTACTTAATAATCAACCTGAGCAATTTGATTGGACAGATTTCTTACATCAATCATCACCTGTAAATTGTTTTCAACAATTACACAATCAGTTGTAAGTTTCTAAAATTATTATCTAATTTTGGCAAGTTGTAATCAATGAACATAAAAATAAAAAAATATCTGAATGCTATAGTTTTGCAATCTGATGGGCTATTTTTATTTTATTAGTTCTTCTACGCCAATTAATAAGACCAATCGTGTTATTAATAATGGAGTTGTAGAATCTGAATGGCCAGATTTTTTAAGTGATTCTTCATCTTTAGATCGTTATCTACAATTACCTCAGTGGTAAGTATTTAAATATTAATTTTATTCATTAATCAGTTAAAACTATTCAGTTTTAATAATCGATGTATTCACAACTTTTTTTTTAAATATTAGCTCAACACCAATCAACAAATCCAATCTGTTATTTAATAATAGTTCTCCGCAGCCTGAATACGCCTCTTACAGTGGTCAGTCATCTTCGTCATCTGTGAATTACCAACAGTTATTTTCCCCTCACTAGTAAGTTTCAGATATTAAGTTAGTAACATTTCGTTTAAAATATATTTTTTTAATAATAGTTCACCTATACCAAGTCAATATGGTGTTGATGTAATGAATCATTCACCATCATACTCATCTCCCACTCAACCTGCCATACTGCAAAGAAATCCATCAACCATACAATCTTTGGATTATCTGCACTTAGTTCGCCCCAAGTAAGTTATTAATAGTATATATTGTTTTACTTGGAATAACAATTTAGTAAGGTTACAATTGTAGGCTTTTGCAGGATTTGTTGATATTAAATCTCCTTATTAATTTAATTTTTTTTTCAGATCTCCCATTCAAACAGTTTCAAATGGAATGAACATTGAAAATTCATCATTCATTGACAGCGGTTTTTGTTCTCATTCGGAACAACTTAATTTATCAGCTATTAAAGATGAATATCTTCCTCTCGATCAGGTTTTTAGGTGAGCTAAGATTTAGATATTAATAGTGTTGTTAGTGTTATTAAAAATTATTGCTTTTTATTATATGTTCTAGAACGTTAGCCATATCGACCAATGTCATGACTTCTAACGATTCTAAAATGCCAACATTTTCAAATGAGGTAATACTGAAAATACATGTTTTTTTTTATAAAATAAAACTATTTTTTTTTTGTTATTTAGAGTGGTATCCAAAGTTGATTATTCTCATGAAGCAGCTTAAAATCCATGTGGAAGGAAGAATTTCATTTTCATATAGCGATTCTTTAATTAAGTCTTTCCAACTCATGTCTATATGATATTGCCTAAAACATTCCCAGTTTTTATTAATTATATATTTTAATCTTGTTCTCTCAGAACTTGTTATTGTCTTATTTTCTATTGTTTATTATTATTATAATGTTAATATTTTTATATAAACTTCAGATTAATTGATTGACTGATTAATTAACTGTGCTTTTTTTATTTTCTTATTTTTATTTTAATAATCTCGATTTAGTGTTTGTTTTTGTAAACTTTCTTTAATATTTTTTTAGTTTTAATATTTTATAGTTCTTAGGAAATCGTTTCTTGTATTAATATAATGATTCAACATTTATTTGCATTTTTTTTACATTTGACTTTTTTATTTGTATAGCATTTTGAAAGTTAAACCGTCCTTACCTGTTACCAACAAATTTACAACGTTTAATTAAATTAATTAAATAAGTAGTTATTTGGTGAAATAAAAACTATTTTTGTTCAATAATTAAAGCAAATTTGATGAAGAATTTGATGATTCGTTGTTATGATTTTTTAAATCCGTCTTTGCATGTTTGAGATGATATGAAACCTAAATTTAGAAACTATATCTTAAGAACGAATGGAGATGTCATGAAATAAACAACATTTTAAGGCAAATTTGATGAACATATAATGTACCATAAATAATTTCTTATTTTCCATAAACATCGTTGTTATGATTTTTTAAATGCAACTCTGCATGTTTGATTGTTGTTAGATAGGAAATATAAATTTAAAAAAATCCTATCTTAAGAACTAATGGAGTTGCATTTATGGAGCTAATGGAGTTGAAGATTTAATGTGACATAAACAATTTCTCATTTTCCATAAACATCGTTGTTATGATTTTTTAAACCCAACATGGCTTGTTTGATTATTCTAAACTTTATGAACCGATGTTAATACTGTTATATTGAAGATCATTTCTTCAAATTTCGGAGTTATTAATTTTTAGTTGCAACCTTGCATATCTGTAATATCACGATGTATGTACTTGTATGTACTTACATGTAAATGCGCGTAGCTAAAAATGGGTGGTACCTACAGAGCTCATTTCTCTGTTATGCTTCACTTCGCGGAGTGAAGATCGTATACAGTACTTAACAAAAGTTTTAGTGTATATGTTAAGTCAATCTGTATAATTCAGGTAGGACTCTATACAATGCCTAATGGTAATGTATAAAATACCTGGGGTGTCTAGGCAATGTATGAAATATTATAAAGATTATTGTCCCTTAGATACTTTACCTAGGTAATGTATACAATTCTTAGGGATTACATAGAGTACCTGTTGGTCGACCAGCAAGGTGTAAAATAAATAGATTTTGGTCTGTATTTATCAAGTTTTACTCATAATAAACTATTTTATAATCTATAAGTTATAGACCAAATTAGATCAAATTTACGTTATTCTTAATATTTTGAAGATGATTTTTTCAAATCCGCAAGTTTTAGAATTATAAATTTTGGAACTTTAAAATAAAAAGCAATTTAAATCTTTAGACCCATTTCAGAGATTGTTCCATAAACCGTTTATAATAGTTTTATCGCCTATATTCGCTACTTTACGGACACACCGTATATAGAAATATACTTATTAGTTATTAAAAATATCCAAGCCCCAGATATACATAACTAATGATTTCACATTTAAGATGCGTGCAGTTGAACCAATTTCTATCGTTCCAACATTCTATATTTGTTACTAAAATCAGTATATATGTATTTACATGTAGACTGTGAATATGTAATAAATTAAAAATAGTAGGTTTGTGTCGGTGGCAAAACTTGTCGCAACCATTTGACGAAAGAATAGCGGTAAAGTTTGTTGTAATCATTAAACATTTCTACGTAACATGTAGAAATAACTACATTCTACGTAACATAATTTGAAAACTTTAGTAGAAATAGCAGCCCTAAAAGAGAAGTTCGAATGAAACATTTACAGACAGTCTATATATTTATTAAAATGCAGTTGCTGTTTCTGCACATTCAATACACTTTGAATTAATACGAACTGTTTCGGTGAATAGTAAATTAATACACCTCTCTTAAGCTGGCAGGACCATAATGGCAGAATCGATTGAGACCTATTGGATTATTTAGTACTTATGTTGTACTAATTTGTACCACCAATAAAAAATGTGTACCTTGTGCCATTAAAGAGAAATTCGTGGCGCTGCTAGCTTAATATTAAGCTAGCAGGACGCAAAAAAAGGACGTAAAAAACACAGGTGGATTTGAGAAGAGCTGCATTTGTACTAATTTGGTAAAGTTTCCAAACGTATATTTTTATACCATTGCGTGATTAATTGCAAAAATGGACGGTTATCGGTTTGCCAAATGATAAGCGAAAATCACAACGTCAATGCTATTCATTTTTGGCTGGCAGAATGGGTACGTTCTGGGTCACCGATGCTCAAAGAAATTGTATGTGATTCGTCCAGAGCGTTTTTAATTGCAATTGCGCGAGCTTTTACAGGATATCTTACCATAGACGATTATGCAGATGCATTTATAACTTCTAATTTACCAAAATGTTACATAAGAATTGACGTTGCACATTTTGTAAAAAAATATTCAAATAAAATTATAAAAAAAAACTATAAATAAAAAAGTAAAAATTTTTAATTTAGATTCAATTGAGCAATTAGTGCTTTCCAGAAATATAGTAAATGCTAATGAAATGTTAAAATCCATTTTCACATTAACGTTGTCTGCGCCAATAGCAAAAATATACCATCTATTTCATATTTGAAATTCGTTAAGGCATTTATTCTAATTTTCGGTGATAAATTTTCCAATAAAAAAATCATTTCTGTCTTTAAATATGAATATCTCGAAAACAAAAGAATTGCGACTGCATGTTCATATGTCTTATGTAATTTTAGCAAGTAATATGTTTTGGTAAAGATTCTCGGTTTAAGTGATCCTGCTAGCTTAATATTAAGCTAGCACGAGTTTCTCTTTAATGGCACAAGGTACACATTTTTTATTGGTGGTACATATTAGTACAAAATAAGTACTAGATAATCCAATAGGTCTCAATCGATTCTGCCATTATGGTCCTGCCAGCCAAAAATCTATCTCACTTTAAAAGTAAGAAAAGGCGACCAATACTGAACGTTTAATATCACTGCCGCTATGCGCCGCCCGCGTTCAGAGAAAAATGTATTGACAAGATCTTTTTCCTCTTTTGTATACCGGCTATTAACAAGTATACCTGCTTATGTAGACAACTTTAAACGAAATTTTGTAAGTTCATATTCTTCTTGATGGGTGGACTTTCAGTCGCCAAGTTGTACACAAAAGCCTACAGTGCTTTTTTTATACTTGCACGTGAAGAGTTAGAACACAACGTGTCGTTCCGACATTTTGGCGCCCTGGTGCCACATTGAAACCATATGATATACCTTGATAATGCAATGGGTCGGAGCCAAGGTCTATAGTACATAAGGTTACCCAATGCCGATTCTCCTCCTCTGAGGGGCAAGGTGGGTCAGTGACGTAGCTGGTTCGATGAACAACACAACACGATGCGAGGTTTAAATATTTTATATAGACTGTACCACAGTATAGGCTATCTTTTACTCAACTCTACTCTGACTGTATCGAACCAGTGACGTCATTCTGCGGGGTAATAATCGATACTACAGAGGCATAGGGAATTAGGTAACCTTATGTTCTATAAACCTTGG